TCTTGACATAAAACAATCTAATTCCCCGTGAAAACTCTTCCAGAATACCTCGAATATGTGGCATACTCAAAATTCACACATCCGATATTCCTCTACGTCCCATTGTTAGTGCATGCAACTGCCCGGCACAATCAGTGGCCAAGTACTTGGTCAACACTGTACAATATATCGCCAAAAATACTTCATCCTTCGTCAAAAATTCTTTTCATTTCATCGAACTTCTTAAACGATACCCTATCTCACCGTCAGACATTCCAGTAAGTCCCAATATCGTTTCACTCTTTACAAACATTCTGAAAACTAAATACAGTATCCAGCAAGACCACTTATCTCTCATTAAAGATTGTATGTTTAACTTCATCTTCCAAAATCAATTCTACAGACAAATACATTGTGTCCCAATGGGTTCCTCTCTATTTCCATTAATGGCCAATATCTTTATGGAAGATGTCAAGACCCGAGCACTATCCACATCAATGTTCAAGCCCACATGTTGTTTACGATATGTTAACGATACATTCGTCAATTGGCCCCATAGCGGGGATTTTGGTGTCTTTTCAGACCCATCTGAATGTTATACATCCTAGTATCCAGTTCACAATCGATGTGGAAACTGATTCATCCCTACCGTTTCTCGACAGTAGATATCATAAAGAAAAACCAATCCCAAGGTTTTCATCACTCTGTTTATCGAAAACCAAATACTATAGACTATAATACATACAACTCTTGACATTTCCCATTAGTTTTGTGGCAGCAAACAAAATAGCGCCATCTCATGGTATAAGTTGATAACTACAAACTTATGCATTTAACAGCCTGTTATTTAATAAGTGTAATTTATTAGTTTATTTATAGATTAAATCAAAATACAAATTTAATTGTGAGTTATTTTCTTTAATTTGATATTGTTACATTTTAATTTATATAATTTTTCCTTATTACTGTCGTTAATTTTATTTACATAAGCTTTTATTAAACTGGAAAATTCAAGCAAGGGACAGAACAGAATGGCGTAGAAAGCTTGAGAAGGTCGAGGCCCTCTAAGGGCTGTAGCACCAAGAAGATGATGATGATGATGAAGCTTTTATTAACACATTAAAATATTTATCTATAAAAGTCTTGTGACAATTTGTACATACATTTTGGAGAGTTTCTTGAAAGTCACATTTTAATTTCAATTTATATTTAACATTTTCAACGCTTCCTTTTATATAATTTTGAAAATACCTTTTAAATATTTAGATGATTTCTCATATTTTTTTAACTCTATTAAGGTATTTTCTAAAGAATAATTATTAAAAGAGTTACGACATACTGCATTTCTACATTGTTCGTGAGGCAATTGACTGCAAACCCATCCTAACACATAAGTCTCAGAATTTTTTTCGATCATATCGTAATTGTCATTACTTATGTCGTTTTCGGTGCAATGCTCGATAGGATTATTAAGCAATACTTAATTGGGTTTTTGAGCATTTCATCTTTTTGAATTAAAAATGAACAAGCATCAATGTCGCTGTTGCTGTCCGCTGATGGTTGCAGTAACTGATTTGCCATGACAGATCGCAAGTTGCACCTAAATTTCACACTGTCAGGTGTATTATTATTAAAACCCTTAGCCCTAATAATAGAAAATAAATTTTCTATACAGTCTTGGGTTAGCCTTTTTGTAAAAAGAAATTGAAACACATAATTGCTCTTTAAATCATTCCAAAGCAACTTTAGAGAATTAATATTAGATATCCATCCATTGATACATGTTGGATTAACTCTTCTTCTGTTCAATTCTCTGATATTACTTAGAAATTCTTTTAAATCGTCCAATTTATCAATATGATAATGATTTTTTATTGAAATTGGTTTTCTGAATTTCTTTTCATTATATTTTGAAGAATTGAACATGTCAAATAAAGTGTCCACTTTCTCAATAAAGTTAGCTGTGTATGCTGCACTCGCTGGTAATTTATTTAATGTAACATGACATAGCATCCCTATTTTAGCGAGATTAGCTAATAATACAAAAATTAGAAAAAGAAAATTTGTATGTTTATGTTGACAAAACGTAGTTATCAACTCAAGCCGCCGTGGCGCTAGAAGCAACGTGCTGCCAGTTTTGTGTCGGAGTTGGATGTATTATAGTCTATAGTATTTGCGAAAACTCACCCATACCAATTGTTAGTTGCATGCCAACTCTCATCATCCCTCTTCACAAATTAATTCAGTCATTAACCCTTTCAGTGCGGCCGTCCCTCCACGTTTATCGTACACTACAATATTAAAGTGTTATTGCAATAAAATATAATTTATTGGAACATTTATTTATTGGAAAGGTTATTTTTAGGAATAATTAATCAAAAATCTGTAATTAAAACATTTATTTTTTAGATTAAACAAATATTTATCGTGTCAAATATTAAAATTGTTGCAAAATACATATATAAATACTAGGTATTGATTTTAAATAAATATCTTACTTCCAGTATACTTTTTTACTGTGATAGTGGCCGAAACAAGGTACAACGCAAAGTGAAACAAACGTCACAATTATCACAACGGTATCTGGATTGCCGTCGGATTGTGTTTTTAGTACAAACTACACAATTTCTTAACGGATTTTTTAACATTTCTGTACTTGGAATAAATGAAGGACTGTGGCAACTCGAACAATCAAGTCTTAACGGATTTTCCATAACGCGTCCAAATAAAGAACAACCACTAGTACCAGAACTTCCCTGTATTTTTCTAAAATCTTAAAAATTACTTTGATTTAGAAATCCGCTACTGATTTTTTTTTATTATTTAGAAATTTGTACAAATAGTAGGGGTTTAGAAGAGACATGTCCATGAAATGAAAAAAAAAAAACGTTTTTTTATACCACTTCGTAGTTTTCCTACACATTCAATTAACACAATAGCATATCACTTTTATCTACTCCGCCCATATACTTATTATAGTCTATAACATAAGTCGATTTCATTTTTGGACGTCCAGTATCTGTGCATTTTTTTTCTGTTTTTCCCATGTCAGTTTGGTGTAGAGTATTTAGCATCCATACCTCTCTTTTGTCTTTCCACTTCATAGCTAACATTTTGCCATCGCTTCTGAAAGTTAATTCATCTTTAGCCAATTTTTCAGACAATGCATATTTCTCCTACTCCTCTTTACCGTGCCTCAAGCTCCAGTGTTCTATTGTATAACCAATAAAACAGTTCTGGACTTGTGTATCAGTTATCTACGAATAATTTGTGACCTTTGTCTAAATATTTATTCATTGGGGTTGTTACAATACAACCCGATTTTCCTCAATTTCCAATATCGGAGCTATAAGTACTCGAACCCGTTAAAATCCTAAATATATCCAGTTTTTCAGTCTACGAGTAAAAAAAGTTTTATGCCAAAACATCATAACATCCTAACCATACCAACCAATCGATACCAACATCCTAATTTGGAAGAGAACATCATTTTCAGGTTAAACTGAGTTGTCATAAAAATGTAACATCTTCAAAATAGTTTGATATCGATCCCGTGACATTGCTTATGCAAAAATAGGTGTCCGTAATAGTGGATTTTTACTCCAATATTCATGAAGGGATAACTTTTTTATTCTTGGCATCAGAAATGTTAACCTCAAGAAAACATACAAATCTTCATTTCTTATATCTGTCCACTTCTTAGTTCGCGATATTTCCGTGTTTTCTTTCTCATGTTGATTGTAGTAAATCTGTTTGTTTCATCCACAATTTTTTGTACAACCTCATTAGTAAAGAAACTTTCAAAAATGTCTAATGGTGTGGATTCCACATTCAAGTAATCCTTACATCCTGAAGTAGAGCTATCGAAAACAAATTTATTAGGTGATAAATTATTGGTAGTCCATTCAAATTTATGAGCAATGTTTATATTACTTTCGTCATCTTCATTATCTTCAGAATTATCATTATTATTAGCCTGCACCTCAATATTGTCCTCGTCAAACAGATATTCCACTTCATCATCACTTTCTAGAATTAACTGTAATAATTCTGCTTCACTCAAACCCTTTCTCCCACAAAACATACTTCACTACAAATTAGCACAAAACCTCTCTCAAAAGCCAGGTCAAAACTAATGGCACGGTCAACACTGTTTGTTAAAATTCCTTACTCCAGCATAAAAATAAACCACGCCTATTTTTAATTTCATTGGTTCAACAATGATTTGTCATGTGCACTTCCTTTAGTCACTTACGCCTACAGCATAGGACTTAACAAAGTAACAAGTAACAAGAAACAAGTAGTTAGCACTCAATAACTAATAACTTTACACAAAACTTGTATACAAGTGGTTCTTAATGAGAGTGTGTCACTCAATTACTTGTTAAAAAGTGGTTCGTACTGATAGCACGGATTTTATAGTACTCGTATACAAGTACACCGCACTGAAAGGGTTAATACGCTTGTCTCCAGATCAATACGCATTTGCGATGATGCAAGTAGACCCGCTGTGTTCTGAAATCACATCAACAGGAGCATCCACAGATATCAATCTCCCACTCAATCTCAACAAAAAAATTAGACCCTCATCATACGAAAGCTTTTCTTTCTTACATCAAAGGTGTCACTGACAAAATTCTTAAATCAAGAGAAATAAAGAGAATATTTATCCCCAACAAAAACTTTCATCTCATGTTCAATCAATCAAAGACAACATTCCAAATGAACAACATGGAGTTTATGAAATTCCTTGTGCAGACTGCCCACGATCCTATATAGGCCAAACAAATCATAGAATCCAAAATAGGATTTATGAACATTCCATTTCTGTTCGCAATTCCGACTCAACTTCAGCTCTAGGTCAACACCATCTTCATACAAGTCACAAAATTTATTTCGAAAACTCCAGAACCATAGCCCCCATCCACTTCTAGAAACCAAGAATTATCTTGGTGTATTATCAGAAAATATAAAATTTCAAATTATTTTCAGAACCATAACAAAAACTTAACAGAAGTTTTAATGAAATAAAGATTGTTTAACATTAATATGTGAGGTTTATATCTGATATAATACATTAAACAGGTGAATTCAAAAATTTAACATCATATTGTTATCATGTTTGGTATTATTTATTTACATCTGACACAATCACTGAATTTCTGCCTTTCCCATATTTCTTTTTTCTTTTTTAGATAACTTCTTTGATCGTTTTTCAATGTGTTTTTGTAATTTGTTTGATTTCTTAAGTTCCTCATATTTTTCTATTAGATTTTCCAATTTTTCAACAGCTGAAAATAATAAAAAATATGATAAACATAATGAATCCTATATGATAAGTTTTATAAAACAACAAAATAACTTTTATATATTAAATAAAGTTATTTCAAATTAAATAGTATATAATATTTTACTTAAATACGCATAACATAAAAAGACTGAAATGAAAAAATCCTCCAGCTTTCCCTGTAGATCCTGTAGCTGATAATTCAGGAGCAAACACACAATATAGGAAGAGAAACACTATTCGGGAGAGTGGTCAACTATACATGCAGTTAATTATATAGAGCAGTAGATAAGATCTACTGATTTATCATTGAAATGGGGAACTTTAGTAATATTGTAAACAACATCCACCTTGGCACATAGTACAAAGTCTACTTGAATATTAATACACAAGAAAAGCTATTGAGACGATAAATGAAATAGACTGTACTGTGTATTTCAATAATAGGTACCAAAAATTGCAACTATAACACCACACTCACCTGCTTACTAGTTTTGTCAGTACCAAATTATTCAGTATTACCCACTGAATAGTATTTTGACTAGTTTAAAGTTTATTTCTGAGAAAAATTTAAATCTCTTGAAAGTAAAATAACCGAGAAGTCTATATAATAACGAAATTAATCAATGTCCTGACTTACGTCGAAATGTATTTGCACAGTAAAATAAAGACACAACAGATAAATCAACAGCTGAATTAGCAGATTGCTGCAACAAAACAACAAAGCAAATACTTTTTTATAGCGTCAATAAAAAACTAAAAATTCCGTCAAAGGAAGAACTGGAATAAATAGTAAACGTTTTACTTCTTTTTTCATAGTAGTTTTTTTTTCTGGAATCGATTGTATAATTTTAACTTCGTTCGAAAAGATATACACAAAGATACCTGTAAATCACCAGATGGACATACAGTACATCTGATAGAACTGACCACCAGAAATGGAGCAAATGCGGATTCTATTCACTACTGGGTCAAAAGTAGAGTAATGGCCAAAATGTTAAACATTTAAAAAAGGAAATAGGTTCCACACATGAACCATACAATGTAGAAGGACTCAAAAACACAAACAAAATAGAGGATATAAACAAAATATAAACATCAAACTAGAAAAAGACTAATACATGAAAAAATAATAATGAAGAGTGTGAAGGGTGCAGAAATATCATGAAAGAAGCAGCTGAAGAATTACTAGGCATGGAAGGTAAACAAAGAAGAACAAGAATGAATTACTGTGACGAAGAATATCAGCGTGACAAATAAAATAAAGAAAACCAGAGCATATTAACTGATGCAACAGGGGCACAGAACCCAACAACCAGAGAAAGAATATAAATAATTACAAAAGGAAGAAAAGAAAATCCATTGCAGAAAGAAGAGAGAAAATATGAACAAAGAACTTCAAGAACTACAAGATCTAAAAAAGCCAATAGAGACAAGAATATTTTACTAGAAACTACACAAAGGCAAAAAAGAATTTAAACAAAAGAAGTAAAGAGATAAGGAGGGTAATATATTGACAGAACAGCAAGAAAAACTAAGATGGAATTTCTGAATGCTACCGAAAATGTTTAGATTATAAACATTTTTTATAAAAATATTTTTATTATTATGTGCTCTTAATATGCAATAAATACGCTAAATAAAAAAATAAATTCTCTGCTACTGACACACTTCTTGGTAAAACATATAGGATCAGCTAAATTATATAACTTTTGTAGAATTATAATTCATTTAGTAGTTTTTAGAAAAAAAATCTTAAAAATCACTAATTAAAGCATTTTTCAACAAAAAAGCGATTTGGGAAATTGTTTTATTGTTCTAAGTTATTATTTGTTAATAACAATTTTGGGTCCCCTTGGAAAAATTAAAAAAAAAAATACATTGGAACCCGAAAAAATATATACAATCGAATAAAAAAGAATTAGTGCAGTAGAAATGCAAAAAGTAGTCAGTAAATTCCTTTTCTAAGCATCTTTTTAGGGAAAAGCCGCTCAATGTCTTTGCCTCCTTTATACTAAAATTTTATAACAAATCTGTTATAAATCTTATTTACAGTGAGTATTTGTTTTTCGGTGATAAAATTAATATTCTGTGACATAAAAAACCTTTTAACTCTTTGGAATTTATTTTTGAAGATTTTTTGGCTTTATTATGAGTGATAAAACCGGATATATTTTTGCCTCTCGTTTGCAATATTTTGGTGCTACACAAAGAAATTCCTGAAAATGCAACCCAAAAAATCTCAAGAGTATCTATTTTCTTATTAAGTATTCTGCTTATTAGATTATTTATAAAATTAGCTTTCATGATAGCCACATACTCTTGTACGTTTTTAAAAACAATAATAGGTTTATCAACAGCTGCTTCTCATTGTCGAACGAAATTCTAGTATTCAAATTTTTTCGATTCACTTTATACTGTTGATCCATTTTTAAATTAAATAAACAATTGCAAGATTCATGATCACTATTATTAAAAATTGAGTTTTATACAAAACTTATCAACGTTACTTCGTGAATGGCTAGAATGAAGCCTATCCAAATAACCAGCTGTGCAGTTCTCGATCAACTGAGCGATCTGTATTGTAATTTGAAATCTGCTAGTGCGCACAGTATTTCTATGTCTATTGCTATTCTGGTTCTGTACTCTAAGTTGCTGATGACTTTATTTTACTATTTCAAACTCATAAATAACTGCATTTTTTTCTCCCAACAATCACGATTTTCAAAGTGTCTAGTAGGCAAGGTTATGGTTAGAGAGATACATTAAATTGAAAATGCTAAGAAATTTATTGGGAAATTACCAAATGAAGATTTCTACTCAAAATACTAAATTAACCATTAAGGTGATTCGAGATTAAAATTTAACAAAAATAATAGAAAAATCCAAATAAATTAGTCATAACTATGATGTAGTTTATCTAAAGCTATCAAAGTTCTAATTTTTGTATACATTCAATAAAATTTTTTTCAAATGACTATGTAGACCAAATAAATTTAGACCAAATAAATTGTTACTGCCATTGTATTGGCTGATAAGGTCTACTTACTGCTATTTTAACATATTATGATTTTTGTTCATATTCGAATATGACATCAATATATTTGAAATAGCTTTGATAACTAATGATTGATAATATATAAAATAAAAATATGCTTTTTCCTTACATTTCTTCTTAAACTGCGGCTTTTCACCTCGTTTATACTTTTCCTTTATTTCACTTGATCTTTGAAGTTTCTTTAATTCCTCTTTTTCTTTCCTGTTCTGTTCCCTCAGTTGATTATTCTAAAATAAAAGCAATGTTAGTATATTTTTATAAGAAATAACCATGACATTTATTGCACTTGTTTTTGAGTTATATTACTAGATATGAGTTATATAACTAGAGACCGTTTGAGTAGTTATCAACAACTGATTAAAATCGGTCACATTTATAAAAATATCAAGTTTGTACCAAAGAAAGTAGGAAATTATTAGCATATCAATCTTTACTATTGTAAGTAGTGTCAATATCCTTTTTGGGAGACCTTTTATGCAATTAAATCATTAAACAAATAAAACTACCTGCATATGCCTCATTGGGAGAATTCATTTTTATCATAATCCAACAAAGCTTTTAAGTTAATCCACATCATCCAAAATATTAATAAGCATAAACCTAATAAATGGTATCAATAAGAAATAAACACAAATAACATAGCTCAACCATATTGTGCCCCTTTATTAACTAGGACACATAGACTGAACCAGTGACTTGTCAGTACTGATTATCATTATGCTTGCTCTATTCAGTGTATTTCTAAGTAGATGAATTAAACATTTTTTATTATCACACAATAGGATCCTACACTGTTTGTATCTAAGCACTGACTCTAGAAGAACATTGTAAAGTATAAATATTATATAAAAAAAATACAATTCATGGAGGAGTTTATATTTTTGTCAAATAAAATATTAAATCAAAGCAGTAGTAATGTGCATTACAAGGTGTTGCTTCCAGATAACACCTCCAGCCTCTGCTACTCAATTCCTATCTTCACCTCCAAGATAGGCAAAAACAAAGGGCAAGAGGAAATTAAATTTTAAATGGTTCAGCTTATGTATCCCAACTGCCATTTTCCAGACAATCCACAATATAATTGTCATTCTTCCCACAAATGTATTATTAATTCATCTACAATTAAATCTAGAACTGGATCATTTTCCACAAAATAATGCTCAATAGAAGTAGCTTGTACAAAAAAGCTACTATAGTATAGTTATAGGCAATATTTTTCCACTCTTCTTGGGAAAATTTGGAGAAAAATTCATCAAAATATTTATCAACATTTATCTGCCATAAATGGTTTTAAAGCAGCCCACAGTGTTGCAGTTTCACAAATACATATAAACATTTATAAAATATTAACAGACTTGTGTTAGTTTTGATTCTCTCCATATATATAACCAAGCCAAGATTTGGTGTACAAAAATACAGCTATGTTAAAAACTACACATTACAAGACGATCCATCTGCAAAATGACACAGATGTGTCTTAGAGATAAGAAATGATTTCAATATGCCAAAGGCGATAGTCTAGTTTTGTCTTCCAGCCAACACATATGTGCATGGGTTAAGGGCAGTGCTTCCTAGGGACTTAGCTTGAGTCTTGTGAAAAAAGCTAGTTTTTTAATTCCTGAATTCAATGAACCAGAGGGATCGCAATCCATTTGTGGCTGAAGCCATTTCACAGGGTAAAGTACAACTTATATAAACCATTACATTGATGCTGATACACACATATGTTTACTGTGCAGAATAGTTACATTATTATTCAATTCTTTGGGAAGTTGAAATTGGTTGTGTTAAACTATATTTCACATTATAATGCATGTTGAATATTGTAACCATTTGAGAACATTTTAGATTAGGTTAAATGTTATTACCTTTATCATAGATTTGTATATATGTTAGATTGTAATAATTTCACCATTCTTTTTTTTTGTATGTATATCACAGCATTTACATGATGAGTTTACTAATTGGATTAATTTCATTAATTAGTTACATCAGTATTTTGAAAAACATTCAATAAAACTGCATGAGTAACTGAATGTAATCTGTAAGTATCTTAATTTTGGTTTTGGATTCTCTTTCACATTTTGCCTCAAAACCAAAATCTTGCTGAAGTGTGTCATCCTTTTTGAACTGCTATAAAACATTGTGTAATCATAGTCAAATAAATGACCTATATATCTTTATGATAGCCTATGATATGGTAAAGCTATAAATATTTAGAGTATAAAACAAACTCATACTTACTGTTCTTTGTAACAAATTCTTAATGATCTTTTTTCTATTAACATCAGTACATGACTTTAATTCCTCTTCCAATTGTTCTTTTTCCTTTGCGCGTATGTCATTAACGAAGTCATAATTGGCTTTAAAAATTTTTTCCTCATATTGCCCACATAAGGGATCAAACCTGGGATCTCTTGGAATGTGTTTTTTAGGGGCTTTTACCACGTTATCAGTTTCAAGTCTTAAATTTTGCGGCCTTATTTTAGAACTCACTTCTCTAGGCCTATTTTTATTAGCTCTCTTTAAAGCTTTGGACTTTTTTGTAACACTACTACCATAAATTGTTTTATTGTATGTCTTCGATCCAACCTGTTCTTTTAATTTTAGAAGTTCTTCAAAACTAAGATTAGCTATTTTTTCTCTAATTTTAATTCTTTCTTCGTCTTCCATAGTACTTTATTAAATTTATTTACATGTAAAAGCACGCTTTATTGTTTATATTTTGCGACGTTTATTTTTAGACACTTGTCAGTTAATAACATAACCAATAACCACAGAATACACAATACACCATTCTGTGACATAACCAGAGCACAGAATAATAAACAATCAGAAGGGCCACTCTCAGATGCCGCCTTTGAAGTTTTTCAGCACGCGCGCCATGTTTTAGGAGGACACAAACATGATTTGTGAGGTTATGCAATTGTTTACATTTATGTTTAATTATATTATATTTATGTTATTACATTTAAAACTGTTAATATAATTGTATAATATGTCTATGATTGCCGTAAGTCAAATAAACCTGGTTTTTTTTTCCATGCACACCACATAAACAACACTAGTTCCCTTTAAAATCCTCGTAAAACATGGCGGAACGTTTGCGCGAAGGAGATGCGCGTACTTAATTTTCCGTGGAGAGTGGACCTTCTGTTTGTTTATTATTCTGTGACCAGAGAGAGGACATAACTGATATGAAATGATACCTGCTTATTTGTCAAATCCACCTTTATCATAGACTTTTGTAATTCTTGATTCGTTTTTTTACTGACACGAAGCTGATCAAGGGTCTGTGCTATAACATTGAATCAGAAGAAGAATATTATGATATGACATGTTGACAAAATTGACAGTTTTATAAGGTTTTAGCTGGAAGGAGGCACCAAATTTATAAAAAATTGTTTTGATTGCGATTTTCTGAATTAAATGACTTCTGGAAAAGATACAATGGGGTAAGTACTCTAATTTGAGTAAAACTTCTTTTTCAACAATCAAATTTAATAATTTCACTGCACTCATTAATCAATTAGTTAAAAATTACTTAACTTCCTTTTAGTCCTAGGTCAGTCTAAAATTAAGGCATCTTGTTTTTTAGTGAACAACCTATTTTTACATGCAAAGCGCATGTATTTCACATAGATCCAAAAACTAAACGTTCTTGGATGCCAGCTTCCAGCTCTGCTGTCAGTGTTTCATTTTTTTATGACTCTTCAAGAAGTTTATACAGAATTATTAGCGTTGAAGGTCAGAAGGCCGTGATTAACAGTACTGTTACCCACAATATGACTTTTACAAAGACTTCCCAAAAGTTTGGCCAGTGGTCTGATGTTAGAGCAAATACAGTTTATGGTTTAGGATTTTCTTCAGAAGCAGAACTTCAAAAGGTAAACTACTAAAATTAAACTAAGCAACTTTATTGTCAGATATTTGTTTTAGTTTATTGATAAATTCAATGAGGTAAAAGAAGCCACTAGATCTGCAATAAGCAAAGTAACTGCCAATGGAGGATCTGTTGTTACTCCTGTCACAAGTGCAAATGCTAGCCCCATCAGTGCCAGAGCTGCGACTGCTGCAGCTGATTCATCTACAGATAATCTACTTGAGCCTCCAGGTATGTTAAACAAATAAATTTGTGATTGGTGTTAGTTGGCTTCATAAAATCTGTTTCTATTTATATGCAATGTAAGCATAAACATTAAAAATATTGGTATATCTAGAAAATACCAAAATTTTGACTTATTATTAATCTAAAAACTATTTTTGAATAAGTACTTTGCTAATCCAAATGGTTTGGTAAAAAGTGTAGTTGTATTGTAGATACAAATGATCAGATCTAAAGTTTAATCTAAGGGTGAGCGCCCACCAAACTGGTGTGGCAAGTGGCAGGTAGCAAGTAGCACACATCTAGTATGTTATTTAAAATGTAACCAATGAAAACGAATGATTCAGCGCACACCAAAATGACAGTGACATCATTCATTCTAAACATTTGTTTTCATTGGTTACATTTTAAATAACATGCTAGGCGCATGCTACTTGCCACGCCACTTTGGTGGGCTCTCTCACTTAGGGAGAGCGCCACCAAACTGGCATGGCAAGTAGCAAGTAGCACGTATCTAGCATGTTACTTAAAATGTAACCAATGAAAACTAATGATTCAGCACACACCAAAATGACAGTGACACCATTCATTCTAATCATTCGTTTGCATTGGTTACATTTTAAGTAACATGCTAGACACTTGCTACTTGCCATGCCAGTTTGGTGGGCGCTCTCATACAAGTTTACTCATAAAATGGTTCCAAAACATATTTTGACCTTAACATATTATTTATTTGTATTTATTTGCCCAATGTCCCCATTTTTACAAAAATTTAACATAAATATAATATCCTAACCATAACAAAAACACTATAACTAAATATTAAATAATTTTTAACTATTGTTAAACAAATGATTAAATTAAAATGAATTAAATTTTCCTGAAAGTCTTATTAAATGAAATTAATACCCAAAATTAAAGATCTTTTAAAAGACTCATCTTAGATCCCAAACATAATCATTTAAACAGTACTTAAATCTGACAGATTTTATATCCACCAGATCATAAGATTGACTTAAAGTCATGTCCCAGTATCTGAATTCTGTTAATAGTAGAGAATTTGCCATAGCTTGTGTGATAGTGTTTTATAGAAAACAAAGGCATGTCTCTAAGAATTCTAGTACTGCATCTAAAGTTGATAAGACTTAATAAATCAGAACAGTCAGTGGTATGGTCAAGTGGTTTGTAGAGAAAAACTAGGTTACATTTAGTTCTATAGTCTTCTATGGAACTGATATTTAGCCTTGAGCTTAGTTCCATCAAAGATAGGTTCTTTAAGTTTAATATTGAAGTACAAATCCATAACAATATCATCAGTGCAGAGCCCAGGGATTAGTGTACAATCTACCCTATTACTGTGAATTATGCACGACCTTGGCCTTATAGCTTTAGGTGTGTATAAAATCTTAACTTGTTTGATTGATAAGCCAGAAATCTTCAGGGCTCCCACAGGAGGGCAATGTCAATGCCTTCTTGTTCCACTCCTCTAACCCGCATTACCGATGTGACTTTTGTGTGTTGAAGGTTGGCTTGTAGGGGCCTTATTTCTCTCTTTATTAAGAGTTGTCCGGTTCTGGTTTTGTGGACTTTTATTCTTTTTCTGTGGGTCCAACAAACTCTTTTTACAGTAGCCCTTACGAGTAGGCGGGTTATACCTGAAGAAGGTTGCCTCTTCCTGCACCTCTATATACATTGAAGCTTCTCCTGTTTTTCTCTAAAGTGAGCTGCTACTAGCTTTTCCTCCAGTATTTTTGTCTTTCCTTCTTTGTATCAGAAAGTTAACTTTTCCACTCCGAAAAAGGGTAATATATTGAGTTTATGGAGCTCTTCTCGAGATTCAGAATCTATTGAGAAGGTCTCTAAAACCCCATCCTGTCTGAATATTTGCTTCCCCAGATAGCCCATAGATGTGTCCTGAGCCCATGGACTTCTTAGTCTATTAAGGATCCTTTTGGACTCAAGACTGAACAATCTTCATACTAAACGAAGACAGTGCATGAGTGCGAATTGGGGATACCTGTTATTGGTTTATTTGCTTGCCATGAGTTAACACTAGATATACCACACTTAACTAATTCATCTTTCAGTCTTGATATGATATCATATCTACTAGTTCTTCTTTATTTGGAAAAAAACTTATTTTTATGATTTAACATTGTTTTAACTTTTTAAAACACTTTTAATGCTTTAAAATATTTTATCCTTGTTACAGGAAATTCTCTGATGCCTTCTGCCAACACAAAACCTGAGGATGATATGCCACATCCTCGCAGCCATTCCATTTCCGGCATGCAAAGCAACGAAAGTCCTAGCCACCAGGTGAAAATGGATAAAGGTCCTTACAATACCAGTCCAATAGATATGCAACTGAAATATGAAAATGACAGGTTGAAGTTAGCTTTAGCACAAAGGTGAGTGTTTTTTTTTTCAAGTAATTACATAGTAATAATCAGTGGCAGTTTGTGACTACTAAAAGAGTATGCACAAATAGATAAATTTACCAATTACTGGATGAAAAAGGGCTTTTTTTTGTTTGTTTTTTGGACACACTTTCATACAAAATTAACATTAATGTATAATTAGATTAGAATTATGAAAATCAGGCAAGGGGTAACTATATTGTGTCAAAACAAACCCACAACAATAACAAGACTAACAAAATATAAATTTTTTTTTAATATCCATGACTTGTATTAGCTTATATCGGTATTCATAATATTCATGTGATTGAATTGTGATGATCATGGTAATCATTTATAAGCTATCTCATCCAATACCTTTGTTCTTTGAGGTAATGCAGTAAAAAAGAACAAATCCCAGTTAAATGAGCGAAAAAAATCTGAACAGATGCATTAATTAAAGCTGCACTGTTCATTATAAGATTTTTCTGATGTGCATAGCAGTGTACATAGTTTGCAAATGAATATTTATCTTTAATAATTTTTTGTACCCTATTTACACCTCTGCTCATTACTGACGCTCCGTCATAACTTTGCGCTATTATTTGGCGCATCACTGATTAAAGGATTAATTTCATTTAAAATAGAATTTGCTATTGGAATGCCATTCTGTCCGGGAGGATTTACAAATTTCCAAAATCTTTCTACTGGCCTATTGGAGGAAATATATCAAAATATAATGACTAACTGAAATTCGATAGCGACATCTGTAATTTCATTGGCAATTACAGCTACATAATTTGATGTGTTAATTTCTTTAGACATCTAATCATGGTTCATGCCAATCATACAGTCCAATAGTTGTTTTTATATACTTTTAGAGGCCTCTTTAAATACTGTTGCTTTATTAAAATGATCCTTTAAATATGTATCTAATTGAGAACTAAAATAATGTATTAATTCCTGAAAAACTTCTTTATAACTGAATCATTATATTTGATTCTCCGAGCACAGAGAAACTAAAAATATTATTTTTATGTACATTGCTATTTTCATGAGTTTTTATTTTCTCGCAAATGAGCACTAATCAAATCACTCTAATGATATCTGCGTATTTGTATGATACAATTTGGAGACTATAGATTGTCTCAAAGTGACTTGTCTGTACAGGGTAAATGCACAACATCGATGCCATACTTCTTTGCAAACTTGTATTAAAATAAACGTCACTTTTTACTACTTAGCCTAATCCATCTTTTGTGTTGACGGTAGCTTAAGTACTAATGCCCACTAACGACCCTGCCTGGCTTCCTTTTGTCAGTGGTGGTCAAATGTAAATAATATTTGCTACAACATACTTGGGTTAAATTAAAATGAAATAGAAATTAAGAAATGCGTTTTATTTATGTCACAAAAGCAGTTTGTGTTTAATTCTACAGTATGTGCCAGCGATACAAACCATTTGCTGTTGCTATTACGTGGTTTACATAATTTTTCCATTTCTCTGGCGTAATGATCTGGCACGCTGCTGTAATTAAATTTCGCATTTCATCTTCTTTAAAATTCGCGTTGCCTCTAGCTATATACCGTTTCACTTCACTCCAAACCATTTCGATGGGATTGAGGTCACAGTTATAGGGTGGGAGCCTCAGAATCTTCACATTGTGCTTTTTTGGCAATATCTTCTATTATGTATCTGTCATATTTTGCTTTGAAAGCCAATTACATCAAGTAACTCGCGTTTTAGGTAGTCTTCTTCAAAAAATAGGTCCTTTGACAGAAGCCATTCTTGAATATCTTGAGGCATTTTCCATTACCACAACAGTTTTTTCTGGCAAATTTAGCATTGAGTTATTTTCGAACCAATCTTCGAAGGTCGGTCCATCCATTTCGTTGTGGTAGTCCTGATTATTTTTCTTTGCCAAAAACGTGAGCTCTGCTCCATCAACAAATCCACTGGTAGATCCTGCGTGCAATAAAACGAACCGTGCACCACGAGATGTTGGAGCTTTTAATCCTGTTGTCAGACCACAAATAAAAGCATCGCGATGAGATGTAAGTAATTGTTTTTAAACCCATTCTTTTTTCACACTGTGTCCGATATTTACCCATGATTCATCCAAATACACTATGTTGTATCCTTCTGCACGGTATTTACGAATTGCGCGGAAATAACGATGACGCCACGAGATGATTTCTGGTTTTTCAATCAAAATTGAATTTCTGCCACGTTTTATAAACACAAAATCCATATCACTCAGCAACCGATGTAGCGTGGCCCGTGAAAAGTTGAGCAAAGTTTCTTCGACATTTACAACAGCTAATATGGTGTTTATTGTTGGTGGTATGTTGTCACGAAAAAATTTATGAACTATTCTACGAATTTGGCCCCTGACACCTTTATCGTACTTGTTGTCACGAGAATTACCAACCTTTCGCTTCTTCTGCCTGCTCTTTGGAGATTGTAATCCAGCAGGTGATGAATATTCCTGTCGTATGCGAAACAGAGTCATTTCGCAAACACCACTCATTTCTGACACTTTCCTAATTACACTTGATACAGAATCGTTGTTATCCTGATTAAGATGATAATTAATAATATTCAGTAGTATATGTTTCTCTGAAAGTTTCAGAGCTTTTCCACGTTTCCATTGAACAATTTCCTCCATTTTGCGGTAAAAATTCAGCGTCAAATATAACAATAGCCAACAACAGAAAATAACAATAATTGCCAACAGCAAATCACAACAACAGCCACCAACAAATAACAGTAACAGTACATCCAAAATGGTGAAAATAATCGTAACTCGAATATGTTTACACGCTCCGAAGAACAAATAAAGACTAATTAAGGCCCTGGATGTATCAAGTTTTAAACATATTCTGTACAAGAATTACTCTAATTGCTTCCTAATTACCTAATAACAGAAGAAAGTATTTGAAAAACTTTGAAACAAATGTTTATTTAATGCACATTTTATTATACTAAGGCTACTAATAAAAGATAAAAGTTGATAAGTTACTATTAGAAACAAATAATGTATAGTATTATGTAAAATTATTAGCAAACGATATTTGTAAAATTACATAACATAGTACGTGAGGACTTGTTGAGAACTCCTGGTTTATTCCGTTTATTTTGAAAGATAGACAATAGAGAACGCCATCGCTCACTGCATAAAACTGGCAACGTCTTGGCGAAATTCCCATAAGGTTAGCATTGCATATCTTCCCTGTACAGACTAGTCACTTTGAGACAAAGTATAGAAACATTACAGATTACAGGTGAGAAAGTGAAAATATAATATTAGACATGCTTGGCTCGTTCTTTTATCTATCTATATTATATCATCTTCTTAATATTAAGAACATTAGTCTTCTACCTGGATTTTACATTCCCCAGAAGGTCTAGGTAAGAGCTGTATCGAGATTTTTGTTTTCTTTCTTGAAATTAAGAAGGGATATTTGATGACAGTGCAAAGATTTAAATTTTTAATTGACCTGTCGTATTTTTTAAATATTGATATTCATCATTATCATCTTTGGTTCGACAATCCTTTGTGGATCCTTTCTTGCTCTAAGATTCGTCGCCGTCGTGTGTTGGTTTCTGTCGACCTGTTGCTATTTTCTGATTTTTAAAACCCTTAAGTCTTCTTTTTGCTTCTTCTTCTTACAGGTGTTCTTGTGGTTAGATTTTTAGCGATCGTGTTGCCCGCCAACGTATTATGTGTCCAGCCCGTCTGAGTCGTTTTAATGAACGTTTTGACGACTGGTTCATTAAAGAGTTGGTATATTTCGGTATTATGTCTTTTGCGTCACTGCCCTTGTCTTGTTTCACATGTTTATTCTTCTTTAGGATTGATATTCTTCTTCTGTTTTCTGCCATTACATGAAAGTGGTTACTATCTATGTTTGGACATCGGTAACTTCTGACGTCTTAGAGGTCCTAAGAATACCTTGCATCTATCTGGTTAACGGTTTAGTTGTCAGGGGATTTTCATGTTCCGTTTTGTATTATTTTATGGGGAAATCTTGTTACTCCTACATCATGCTTTGGTGATTGAAAGATGTATTAGTATCAACCCGTTATGGCTTGACTCTTCATGTAAGCTCTCACGTCCTATATTTGGTTGGAAAAATTGCTCTTTGTCAATGCCTTTGCTGGTCTTGTATGGTTGCTGTAGTAGAGGAAAGTGGCCTAATATTGGATACATTTTTTTCAACCGCTACTTTTTACAACAAAAGAATTCTAATTTTGTTTTGTTCTTAGCAATTTATTGGTATAACTATCAATTATGTTCTGGTAGGATTGAAACAACTCTACAAGATACCTGTAGATAATAAAATGATAATAAAAATAACCCAAATTCGACAGTTTACAAAATAGTCACCTAATATTGGATAGGGTATCCGATATTAGGGAAAAGCTTATTTTATGTACATGTACAATGTAAACAATATATTTGTTATTTTGGTGATTACAAAATATCAATTTAATTCAGTAAATGATATTTATTATTCTGAAAGGTACAAAACTAATGAATACAATTTAGTAAAGTTGCCTTCAGCTTCATCGCAAGCTTCATGACACCATCTGTAGTATTTGCAACAGCGTATCCATTGTTGTCCAACTTTGTCGGAAGAAAAAAATTCAAGACAGTAGATGCATTCCACATCCTATTCTTTTTGATCTATGTCATCTTCAGAATCAACAAAGGGCATTTCTTGCTCAGACTCTGATGAATCTGAAGAAACAACTTCTGTTTTCCTTTTGTTTGTGGATTTAATTTTTTGCTTGGGTTCTTTGCGTAAATTAGTATCAGCGCTTATGTTTTCTTTCATTTTATTTAACTTTCCGCGTGTCACAGTTTACCACTTTCTTAACACCTCTTGTAGTTTGAGGCGATAGTGCTTCTTCAAGAGCTTTTTTATAAGGCGATCCACTAATTAAAGCAGTTGTACCAGAATTCTTTCGTTTAATTCCTGATGGACCTTATAAAACAGAAGAAGGT